CCTGGCAATGCTTGGGGGTGACGGAGGGCGGGCGGCGCCAGCATGTAAGTGGCGATCTGCACCACAACGCTTGCGTACACCTGAGCGCCTGCGCGCACCGCAGCGCCTGTGCACACCACGCCGCCGATGTACACCGCAGCAGCCGCGTGCAACACAACGGCAGTTCGTGCCACCGCGCGCGCGGGCACAACAGCTCTTGCGTACACCACGGCGCCTGCGCACACCACATCAGCTTTGTGCAACGCAGCAGTGTACACAACCGTGCTTGCGTGCATTGCAGTGCCTGTGTGCACCACGGCGCTTGCGTGCACCACAGCAACCGTGCGCAACACAGCACCACTGTTGTATGTAGAATGTTAGAATGAATCGTTATGCCAAAATGGAGCGTTTGTGGATTCCACCGAAAACACAAGAAAATAATCTTCATGAGCAAGGGAGAGTCAGGGGAGTCTACGAGTCGGGGCCAGCTTCGCCCGCGGCGTCTGCTGCGCGGGGCTCAGCCACGCCGACCTCAGCTCCGCGCGCACGCTGGCTTTCAGGCCAGTCGAGATCAGGCCCTCAGGCAAGAGCCGCGCCGCCGTCCTCGCCGCCATCGGCAGGGACTACGACCCCGTGTTCAAGGCGACGTGCGACCCAGCGCGCACGCTGCACAGGGTCGTCTGGGAGCAGTGGCACCCCAGGCAGGCCATGGACAAGGTCTTCACGGCGGCCCTGGCCGCTGCGGGCAGCTGGGCCGACTGCCGCGGCCCCGTGGAGGCCGCTCTCTTCTCCATGCGCCGCGCGGGCTGGGGGGCGACCTCGCTGGGCGCGCGGGCCACGCGCGGCGGCTTTCACCGCGGCGCCAGAGACGCCAGCCCGTGGCTCACCAAGAAGCTGCTGGGTCGCAGCTGCGAGCGCTGGCAGGCCAAGCAGCTCAGCAAACACGGCGCCTCCTGGCTCGACGTCGGCATCAGCGGAGGCCTCCCAGCGGCGGCTTCCTCGACCACCTCCGCCGGTGCTGCGGCGAGCCAGGCGAGCCTTTCGTCGGCCAGCCACTATACTGCGACGGCCCGCTGTGCGACGCGCAGCTTGCCGAAGGCCGTGGTGCGCAGGCCGCGGCAGCGGTCGTCGAGCTTCCTCCAGGTCCGAGGAAGTCGACCCAGGCGCTGGCAGCTGCGCCAAGGCGTTGGGCGCGCCTCTAGTCGGGCCCTGGCAGAGCATCGAGGGCGCGGAGCTGCTGGCGGTGCTCGTCGCCCTGCGGCGCGCCCCCCCCCCCCAATCGAGCTGCGCTGCGACGCCAGCTTTGTCGTCGACGGCGTCAACCTACGGGGCGAGGTCCGCGCGACGCTGGCGTCTTCAGCGTGGGGGCATCTGGCGGCAGGCGTGGCAGGCGCTCCACGACTTCGGCGGCGTCGGCCCTGCGGGGCTCACGAGCGTGGAGATCAAGGGCCACGCCGCCCACGCCCGCGTCACCCGCGGCGTGATCGCGAGGAAGCAGCGCCGCGGCAACTGCGAGGCCGACCACGTCGCCGGCGGGGTCGCCTATCACCTGCGTGCCCCCTTGGCCGAGAGGCAGCGGCAGCTGCGCGCCCAGCTCTTCGTCGACGGCGTCGCGCACTGGGCGGCCACGGCTGGTGGCCCCGCGGCCGCCGACGGGCTCGACGACGCCCGCGGATACGTGGCCCGCGACGAGGCCAACAAGGACCGCCTCCTCCTCACCGTGCGCTCGTTCGGGACGCTCGCCTCGGGCCACTGGCGCTGCACGGTATGCTCGCGCACGGCGCGCACCACGAGGTCGAAGCAGGCGCTGCTTCGGCCCCCGTGCATCCCAATGTCGCACCAGTGGCCAGGAGGGCAGCAACTGCAGCCGCCGACGGCGCCGACGGCCAACCAGGAGCGCTCGCGCCAGTTCGGGGCCAGGACCCCGCGCCGATCGCGGCGAGGCAGGCGCCCGCGACCGCGGGCGCGCTCGGCTCGGCCCGCGGCCAGGGACTGGCGCCGAGCTCGGGGGGCCCGCCGCCCGCCCCTGCGGGGGCAACCGCGGCCCAGGGCGCCGCTGTGGCCAGCGGCCAGGTCGGGGCCAGACCCTCCAGCGAGCGGGCCTCGGAGGATGCCGCGAGGTCCCGATCCCCGCGGCACGGCCGCCAGCAGCGCCAGCCGTCGGCGGGTCCCGCGGCGCTTGCTGGGCGCGAGCCCGACGCCGAGGACGGCTCGCCGCGGGCGCGCGACGCCCTCGGCCACATAGTGCAGCGCGCCTTCGGCTACGTTCTGCGCGCGCGCGGTACCGCGCCTATGCCAGGGAGCGCCTCGGCAGCATCAAAGCCCTGGCGCCCCAGTGCGCCCCACGCGTGGGCGAGGCGGGGCGCGTCCGACGTTTTCGGGCTGACCGCATTCGCCGTGGCCAGCGCCCCGCCAGCTCGGCGCGCCTAGCGGGCGGCGCGGCGGCTGGCGAGGCACCAGGTCTTCCGAGTGCTGCTGCCCCGGCCACGCGGCCGAGCTAGCCGCGCGGTCCTTCGGCGCCACCAGAGCGCCCCTTTCGCCGCGGCGGCCCACGCGTCGTCGGCGGCCGCCCGCGCCGCGACGGCCCACGCGTCGTCGGCGGCCGCGGGCCTACGTGCGCCCGCGGCGCGCGCAGGGGGCGTCGGTCACCGCCGTCCTCCTGGGGCTTTGCCCCCAAAAGGAAAGGTTGTTGCGATGTGCGCAGGCGCTGCGCAGGCGCTGCGGTGTGCACGCGAGCGCTGTGGTGTGCACAGGCGCAGGGGGGCAGATCGCCACTTACAGGCTGCTCGCGTCTTCGTCGTCGTCGCTTGTCGCTCGTCGCGTCGCGCGCGCGGGCGCGGCTGCGGTGCCGGAGCCACACGGCGGGGGGGGGGGGGGCGTTTCGTCACCCCCCCCATGCCCCCCCCCCCATGACGCCCGTCATCGATGAACATTAAAAAAACGCTCTCCAACTACAAGGTTGGAGGCCGGTATATGCTCAAACTTGGGATATCGCTTTCGCGCCACGGACAGTCGTCTTCGCTTCCAACCGTTGGAGGGATTGTGGGCGGTCGGCTTTAAGATTGGAGCCCTCACCTTAGCACCGCTTCCGTTCGTCGTAAAGTGTTGCAGCCGCTGGATGGATGGTGGACGGCTGCTTTTGAAAGTGGAGTTCTCCTTCGACACGTTTCTCATGAACCCGAAACCCACCCACGAGTCCCCAGGGCCGCAGAAGACCTGCGGCCCTTATGTTCCTTAAACAGGTCTTGAGTTCCTCAGGGGGCACTGATGCGCCGTCTGAGATTATCTCTTGAGCCTTGTCGGGGTCCTCTCGGGCTGTCTTGGGTCCCTCTTCTGGTCCTTTTGGGCCGTCGTCGTCTGTTCTCGTCGAGCTTTCGTGGGGCGGCAGTCTTGGGCCATCTTAGGGCAATACTGGGGACCTTTGGGGGATGCATGTCCATCTTGGATGCCCCCCCAATGCTGATGGGTTGGCTCCACCCGTCGCTGCGGCACGACGCGGGTCGACAAAAGATTGTGATTGCACCCAGGCAGGGTCGGGGGAACGAGCTTGAGCGGGCTCTGTGGGGAGGAAGGGGAAGAGGGGAGACAGGAGTAGGAGAGAGGAGTGGGGCCCCCCATCTCCTCCCGGCCCCTTCCCCAGAGTTCCGACGCCGTGATATCAGAGGTCTCTTGAGGTCCCTGGAGGCACCCTGGGGCACACACAAATCCCAAGACGGAAAACCTCGCCCATCGTGGTCCCCCGCGCGCGTTCGGGCGCCCGCGCCACGGCGGAGAGGGAGGGTCAGGAAGAGAAGGCGACGGAGGACGACGCCGACGGACAAACAGGAGGAGGACGAAACAAACAGCGACGACGACGACGACGACGACGACGACGACGACGACGACGACAAGGGCGACGAATCAAGAAGAGAAGGTCGCCGCCGCCATCGTCGCCATCGCCGTCGCCGCCGCCGCCGCCGCCGTCGCCGCCGCAATCGTCGCCGCCGCCGCCACCGCCGTCGTCGTCGTCGTTGTCGTCGTCGTCGTTGGAAAGGGCGCGTTCTGTGGACGCTGGGAAGGGAGGGGCTCGAACCGGTTGGCGGGTCCCCCCCCTGAATTACAAGGGGTGGGTAGGGTTCGAACTGAAGAGAGACCCCCCCCTTGAATTGGAAGGGGGGGAGGTCGAACTGGTCCCCCCCCCTATCTCAAGTGGGGGGTGGGGGTTCGATTTGGGGGGGAACCCCCCTTCCTTCGTTAGGGTGGGTTCGAGCCAGAGGGGGGGCCCCCCCCTCTGAGGGCATGCGGCCCCCCCACCCCTGAATTGCAAGGGCCGGGGGGACCCAGGGGCTCGAACCGGGGTGGGGGGCCCCGCAACCCACGACGGCGAGCGCCGGCGCCCGCGCCGGCGCCGACGACGACGACGACGACGACGAAGAGGACGACGACGACGACGTCGACGTCGACGACGTCGACGACGAAGACGACGAAGACGACGACGGCGATTGCTCGATCGCTCGCCCGCACGCTTTTTCGAGCGGGCGAGCGAGCGAGCGAGCAAGCGGGCACTATGTATGTAATGCTCTTCCCGCCCGATCCGACCCGCCCGACTCGCCCCACTCGCTCGCCTGCTCTAGCTAGCCAGCGAGCGAGCAATCGAGCACCATGTATTTAATGTCCCGCCTGACTCGACCCGCCCGACTCGCTGGTTCGCTTGCTCGAGCTAGCCAGCGCGCGAGCGAGCACCATGCATTTAGTGCCCCGCCCGCCCGACCCCGCCCGCCCGACCCTCTCGCTCGCTTGCTCGAGCGAGCGGGCGACCGAGAGGACTGACTCCCCCCTTGCTCGCTCGCTCGCATGCTTGTTCCAGCTCGCAAGCGAGTGAGCAAGCGCGCACCATGCATCTAATGTCCCGGCTGGCCCCCCCCCCCCGGTTCTAACGTGTCAAGTTGCTCGTTCGAGGCAGGCGTCCGCGAAACGCGTTCTCTCCGTCGACGTGGTCGTCGCCGCAGCCGCCTTCGGCGGCGGCGGGCGCTGCGCCGGAGGCCGCCGTGCAGCCCGGCGTGCTCACCTCGGGGCCAGCCGGCAGCAGCACCACCGAGGCGGCGGCGCGCTCTCGGGCGGCCTGCTTGGGGCTCCTCGGCTCCTCCTGCCTGGGGCTCCTCCTCCCCCGTCCCCCCAGGCTTGAGTTGAGGATAGGAGCGGTCGCTCTTGAGACGGCCACTCCGGCTCAGAGCCTCAAGCGTAGGCTTGAGCTCAGAATATTCCTGGAATTCCTCCCTCTTGCCTCTCTTCTTTCTCCTCGGCTGGCTCTTCTCCTCCGCTGCCCCCCTCCCTCTCGCCCTCCTCCCTGCCCCCTCCTCCTGGGCGCGCCTGCGCCCTCCGCTACGAGAACCTGCGTCCCGAGTCACGATCTCCGGCCATCAGGTCTCCCAGCTGGAGGTTTTGCCCTTGGGTGTTCCAGCCCAGACTTTGCGCGAGCCGCCGTTCTCAGGAGTGCGCGACAGTCTTTTCTTGCGTCATGGGGATGCGAGTGGTAGGGGCACCAGTCTCTGCAGCAGGTTTGGTCCTGGGTCGGTCGTTTTGCGTTGTGCTGACTTTGCCTAGCGGACGTTGCACTGCCTTTGCATAGCGGAGGCGCAGCGTGTGATAGGGCCGGTCCTCTCCCTCCTCCCTCCTCCTCTCCCCTCGCATCTGCCCTTCTGCTCTGCTAGACCGCCCCCCCCCTCCCTCCAGCTGCTCAGTCCCCTGGGCGCGCTCGCGCCGTGGATTGTGTCATGATGACTTGAGTTCGGGCCCTCTTCCATTCTTTTTGAGGTTCACAGTCGGCCCCGCCTCCTCCCCCTCTCTTCTCCTCCTCCCCCTCCCCCTTTTCCCTTCCCTTCTCTCCTCTTCCTCTTTCTCGTCCTCCTACCGCCTCTCTCTCTCCCTCTCGCTCTCGGCCATGAGGTCACCCTGGCGTGTCCATGCCCCTCCTCGGGGGCGTTTGCCCCTGAGGGGGGCTGATCAGACTATTGAGGCGACTCCAGGTGCGGTCGGCCCTGGAGTCGCTGGCCGCGGGGAGAAACGCGAACGGTAGATGAGAGCAGGGAATATGGAGGGAGGGAAGGATCATGACGGCGAAGAAGGGAGATGTGGTGACGGCGTAGCGGCGGTGCGGTGGGGAGAAAGTGTGGCGCAAGCGGTAGGAGTGCGGCCCGGCCGCGCTCACCGAAGTGGACGGCGCAAGGGCCTCTCCGACTCCACGTAGTGCATGCCAAGGGAAGGGCCCCAGCCCCGCCCGAGGGGCCCTCGCCCGCCGAGGCAGGCGATGAGTTCCATCGGGGGGGGCTGGGGCCCATCCAGGGGTGCCCAGTGAGACGGCGGAGGTTTGCGCCATCCGCGGTTGCGGCGGCTGTTGGTGTGGCTCCGACCCCATCCCAATGAGATAACACACCCAAGTCCCAATCCTTGTATGGTCAATGTAGCTCGTGCGTGGCCACCAAATGCTGAGCTGAGGTGGGATTGTTCCCGGGACCTGTCTCCGAGCTGCGGCAATGGTGGGCAGGCTGTGTGAGACATGTCTGTTAGCAGCGTCCCAGGCGGCGGCGGCGGTGTGTCTGGCGGTGCTGAGGCAGGCTTCGAGGAAGCTGCTGGCAGGCTTCGCGTGACGAAGGCGACAGGCTGTGCGTCAGCACGGCCACGCTCGCCAAGGTGGAAGGCGCGAAGGCCTCTCCCCCTGCCCATAGGAGCCCCCCACACACACAGTCGACCCCCAGTCCAACGACGGGGACCCTCACCTGCGGAGCAGGCGCTGGCGCAGGGTGCACAGATCGCAGGACTGGTGGCCGCCTGGGGGGGGGGTCGAGCGCGGGGCGGACTTGCGCATTCCGTAGCGATGGCCGCTGTGGACTCTCATGATCATCTCCCCACCCCCCATAATTACCCATCTCTCCCTTACGTAGTGGCAGCCGCGGTGCTGCGGGTGTGAGGCTTCGGTGACAAGAGGGAGGCCATTCGAGGGAGCTGCTGGAGGGAGGGCCACATTAGGAACGAGGTCGGTGGCTGCCCGCTGGTGCTGTGACATCCCAGGCGATGACCTCTGTCTGGGTCATCGGTGCCACCTCGGCGAGTGAAAAAGGTGTCCCGAAGATGCGTATGCGATGACGGACATTGATGGCTGAAGCTCGGGTTGCCCGTGCCTCCCAGGCCATCGCCTTGGGGCGTTGGGTGATCGTTGTCCTACCCCGAACATACATACCTATACGACCACCCTTCGGGTGATAAGGAGGCTGGGGTGGGGAAATAACCAACTGATGGCAATCTTGGTGGTTGTCATGGGGACATTGCCGGTGATGCGCCCTCGGGTTGGCGACGACGCGTGATGAGGATGTTGGTCGCGATGAGTGTTGTTGTTTGTCATCTCACCTGGCGCGCTCCAGACATGAGGGACGGCGCGATCGAGACACTGGGAGTCAAGAAAGATCGCCCCATGGATTCCTCGCACCACCGTCCTGCGCGGCGTCGGCCGGGCGAGCGGCATCGCCAACACCGGGTCGCGTGGCGCCAAGACTGGTCGCCCGTTCATTACATTTGTCACATTCGTTCTCTATCGATCTCACAACCGATCTCACAACGGATCTCACAATTGATCGCATTATCGATCTCCCAATCGATCACACCGTCGACATGACAATATGAATCATCATCGATCTCACATTCGGACTCTCTATCGATCTCACATTCGGACACGGAACACCGACGGGACACCGACGCGCCACCGACGGGACACCCCTGGCCACCAGGCGCTCGGGGGGGGAGGGGCGGACAACTGGCTCCACAGCCCCTAGCTACGGCAGCATCATGCCTCTCGCGCGCCTGCGCAGTTTCGACTCGCCCGCGCGCACGACACAAGCACGACACCGAATCCGATTTCCCAGTGGCGGGCTCTTCGTTCCACTACGATCTCACCCCACAACCTCCGAACCAACCCGGCCCGTCCCATAGAGTGGCAGCTGCGGTGCAACGAGTGTAATGATTCGGTGACGGAGCGACGCCGTTCGATGGAAGTGAGGGAGGGATATATCAAGGTCGGTGACAGCCTGGTGGTGCTGTGACAGCCTACGCGGTGATCTATGTCTGGGTCATCTGTGCCCCCTCGGCGAAGGTGTGAGTAACGTAGGCTGAATATGCATTCGCGCTGACTGATTTGGTTTGCCTCTGCCTCCCAGGCCAAAGCCATGGAGTGTTAGGCGATCGTTGCCCGTCCCCGCCCCAGTCCAATAAAGAAATAGAAACAGACCCTGGCCCCCCCCCTCAAGAGTGGGTGGAACAGGTTGAAGGTTAGTGGTGCGAGCGGTTGGGGGGGGGGCATCATGACGGTGGAGGTGAGCCAGGAAACAGTGCAGGTTGGGTGAGCCTTTTTCAGGAATAGTGGAACGGAGGCTCTTCGTGTTGTTACCTCCGAGGCCCCAGCTCGCAGCTGGTGGTTCAGAGCCCCACCCAGGAGATGCATGAGAGAGCTCGATCCACGGGTCGATGCAAGCAGTGTCGCAATACGCCGGGAGAACTAGCATACATGGATGATAGCGCCACGGCGGGTTTGGGAGCCCTGTCTGACCGTGGACGCACTGCATCGCATAGCCTGTTGCCGTTGTAGCCGCCGTAGGTGTTTGAGCATGATGTGGTCCCCGTGAGAGTGCCATTGGAGATGGGAGTGTGCCTTCGCCAGGGGATGTAATCGGTAACTTCTGGCTGGTAGCGAAAATAGGAGGTCAGTAATTAAGGATGGCGCACTGATGGGCCTGTGGCAGGCAGTTCCCACCATGGCCTGAGGGTGGTGTGCACCCCAGTAGCCGCGTCGTGGGTAGACTGGTTTGGGCTGCCTGACTTCTCAGATGAGGTTTTAATTGGATGTGAGGCTGGCGGACCCGTGTAATTATGCAGGCAGGCCAGCAAGGTGGTTGCGGTGTTGCGTTGTCGGTAGCATCCTCGCTGGCACCCCTCCTGGTGAGGATTCAATTCGTGAGGATGTGGCTGTCAGTGTTCTTTCCGTTGACATAGCTCATCTTGTCGGAAAACGGGTAGTACGCCAGTTCGTTGTGGTCCAGGATGTCTGCAATGTCGTAGCAGAGGATGGGGTACCTGTGGTCGTAGACGTGCTCAGTGTTTGGTTTGCTGCTATCGCTGAGCAGGATCCGCATGGCAGGAGGCCGCTGTAGTATATCTCCCTGTGCAGCAGGGGGAGGTGTGTACTGCGCCTCGATCTTCTGACGAATGCGTTGATTTGTTGCTCCCGAGTCGATGGTCAGAAGGAACCCTTGGACGACGAGGTCGGCTGGCGGGTGGCGTTTAGTGCTGTTGCCAGGGTTTCCCATGGTAGGGTTGTTGTCTGGGCTGTGCTTCGTTCTGTGAGGGTTGATGCTACTTGTGTCAGTTGGTGGGGAGCCTCGTCGTCGTTGTCGGCTTCGAGTCGATTCACGTCGTGTTGGCCTGTTGGTCGTGTTGTGTCGTCGCTGTGGACCGCTCATTTTGGTAATGAAGGGGCTTGCCATATCCTTATGGAAGGCGGACATTGCAAAGGACGCTCGATTATTACTGCGCAGTCGGCCATCGGCAATTCGGTACGAGGTGATGGTGCACAGCTGGTGGATGCTTAAGCGGGTCAGCACCTTCTGGTTGCAAGTCATCTCGAACAGGGTGGCGGGTGGAATGGTTGCCTTGCCCATGAAGTTGTGGAGGGATTGTGGGAAGTACTTCATTGCCTGGTCGTGTTCGCATCGGTGCGACGCCTACTGGTCGGCGTTCCAGTCGTACAGCTCGTCTGGTATGTTGGTATCCTTGATTGCATCTTTGATAATTGTGTGCACGTGGACTGTGTAAAGCGGTGTGGTTCGGTTTGATTGCATGCTGGTGATCGTATTGGTCAGGCGTCAAAAGGCGTTGTGCTCTTTGTCGGGGCCAGTAGTGTCTGATCTGATGCCGATGTGTGGCTCTTCGACTGGAGTTGTCGCACCTTCGTAGACGGTATCCATACCCATGGCAGTCGCAGGCCGTGGTGCAGCCTGTGCTGGGGTTGGCTTTTAAGGGACGTCGGGTGTCGAGGATGTTGGCGCTATGTGTT